CTTCCTCCTCAAACTGTGCCCCTGGCCGCTTGTTTACAACAACATCCCTCATGATACTTCCTCACAATTTATTCTCAAATCGCGCACTCGCGCGCGGGACTTCCTCGCAGTACGAATCGCGCTCTCGCGTGGGATTTCCTCGCAATTTACTCAGACGATGCGCCCTCCGCGCTCAAGAATCACGCTCTCGCTTTCTGGCTTTTCTATCACTTTACTTTAGAATCGCGCTGTCGCTCGAGACTGCCTCGGGATTTATGCAAGACCCACGCTTCAACAACCGGCCTGCTCGACCTGGTCGCTGGGGCCCGCCTTCCCGACCTGCCTGCTATGGGTCTGCCCATCCGATCTGCCCGTCTGGTTCTACCACTTATTTTCTGCAGCTTGCCCCCACCTGCTAATTTCTCTCGTGCTCAATTGTGGTCCCTCACCGTTTCACCCGTCCACTCTTCCCTTGTTTTAGGGGCCGCACAAAATGCACGTGGCAGGTAAGTTAGATAACCCTTCAATGGGGGCACGATCGAAGACGACGAGGGTGGGAACCGAGGTTTCGGGAACTACGTATTGATAGGCACGTGAGCAGATAGGAGCGAGTAGTTTTGAAATGCTTCTTGTTGAACTCACTTTACTGACAAATAATTATTGTTGGTCCCTCCCCTCTGGTGAACATGGTGCTTTTTCAATTGAAGCGCTTCCCCCAGGGCCCGCAGCCATTTTTTTTTTTTTTTTTTTTTTTTTTTTTTTTTTTTTTTTTTTTTTTTTTTTTTTTTTATTTTATTATATATATTATATATATATATATATATATATATATATATATATATATATATATATATATATATATATATATTAAATCAGTGTGATTCACGGGGTTCAAACTGGGCCCCAGGCCCGTGAATTACAGCAGCAGCGGCTCCCGCCTGATACCTCCTCACAATGTATTTCCAAATCACGCTCTGGCGCGGGACTTCCTCGCGATTTATTCAGACGAGGCTCTCTCGGCGCTCAGGAATCACGCTCTCGCTTTCTAGCTTTTCTAACGATTTACTTGGGAATCGCGCTGTCGCTCGGGACTTCCTCGCGAGTCATGCAGGACACACGCTTCAGCCACCCGCCTGCTCGACCTGGTCGCCTGGGCCCGCCTTCCCGACCTGCCCGCTATGGGTCTACCCACCCGATCTGCCCGTCTGGTTCTACCACTTGTTTTCTGCTCCTTGGCCCCCCTCCTGCTAATTTCTCTCGTGCTCCATTCTTCTCCCTCCCCCTTCCACCCGTCCTCTTCTCTTCCCTTGTTTTAGGGCCGCACAAAATCCACGTGGCAGTAAGGGAGATATGCCCCCAAGGGGGTACGATCGAAGACGACGAGGGCGGGTACCGAGGTTCCGGGATATACGCGTTGATTGGCACGTGGGCAGATCGGAGCGAACAGTCTTAACATGATTGTCGTTGTTGTTGCTGCTGTTGTTGCTGCTGCTGTTCTTGTTGCTGTTGCTGTTGTTGTTGTTGTTGCTGTGGTTGTTGTTGTTGCTGCTGTTGCTATTGCTGTTGCTGTTGTTGTCGTTGCTGATGCTAATGTTGTTGTGGTTGTTGTTGTTGAATATTCATTTCTAAAGAATAACTGTTGTTGATCTCCAAGAACGGTTCCGCGCGCTCTCGCCTCGACGCCGGCTACATTTTCTTTTACAACGAGGCTCAATCGCGAGTGTTGGCTTGAGTGTGAATGTGGGCCCTTGGAGGCCTGGCTACAACGACAACGGCTCCCGCGCTCGATACTTCCTCACACTTTACCCCGTGACACGCCAGAGAGGCCCCCGAACTCAGGAACGGCGCTCTCGCTGGAGATTTTCCCGCAAGTCAGTCAAGTTGGCGGAGGCCCAGCCACGACGACAAGGGCTCATGCTCGATACTTCCTTACGATTTACTCCGAGTGCCCCTGGCCAGGAAGGCCCCCGAACTCAGGAAAGGTGCTTTCGCTCGAGACATTCTCGTGATTCAGTCAAATTGATGGAGGCCCAACTACGACGACAAGGGCTCTTGTTTGTTACTTCCTCAAAATGCATTCGCCAAGGCCCTTGCCAGAGAGGCCACCGAACGCAGGAACGGCGCTCTCGCTTGAGACTTCTTCTCGAGTCAGTCAAGTTGGCGGAGGTCCAGCCACGACGACAAGGGCTCCTGCTCGATACTTCCTCACGATTTACTCCGAGTGCCCCTGGCCAGGAAGGCCCCCGAACTTAGGAACGGTGCTCTTGCTCGAGACAGTCTCGTGATTCAGTCAAATTGGTGGAGGCCCAACTACGACGACAAGGGCTCTCCTTTGATACTTCCTCAACATGTATTCGCAAGAGGCCCTTGCCAAAGAGGCCCCCGAACTCAAGAGTGGCGCTCTCGCTCGAGATTTTCTCGTAATTCAAGCAAGTTGGTGGAGGCCCAGACACGGCGACAAGGGTTCCCACTCGATATTTCTCCATATGTATTCCGAAAACACCTGGCCAGAGAGGCCCTCGAACTCAGGAGCGGCGCTCTCGCTCGAGAGTTCCTCGCACTTCAGTGGCCGACATGGAAAAGATTCACCCCGAAAGGGGGTGCAATCGAAGACGAAGTCGGCGGGTATCGAGGGTTGCGGTATACAGAATGCAAGACAAGCGTGCCAGTAACAGCGGACAGTCCTAAAATGATTGTTGTTGTTGTTGCCGTTGATTTTGTGTTTTCGCGTAGCCGTCGTTACTGGGATGGGGGGATGCACATGCCCCCCCAAACGTGCGATCGTTACAACTACCCGCGCGGGGTGGGGGGAGAGGAAGCGGGGCCTGGCCCGGGTGACGACCGTTACGCAACAGAAGATAAGATAAACGATCTCCGATGGAAAACTTCGGGCGCGCCTGCCAGGATCCTGCCACAGTGGAGGCGGCCGGGGGGTTTGAACTGGATGGGCCCCGAGAAGATCGGTCAGGGGTTGGGGGGGGAGAAGGGCAAATCCGCTCGAAATCGGTCCCAAGACCCGTCCCGGGGTCCACCTGGTGCAATTTTCCACCCCGAATCCGTTATTGACGGTCCCGGGGCCCGAAACTGGCTCCAGGAGGCCGAAAGAGGAGAGAACACCTGCTCGAATCTAGCACCTCGGATCACGCCACCCCTCCCTGCTGGCTGGAACCAATGCTGGGCCACCTTTTTGGACGCCCGACATGGGTACGGACAAAAATCAGTACAATGTCCAACAACATATGTTGTCCAGAACCAACAGCGGCCGCCGTTGGGCAGGCGGCCTTCTGTCGCAAATGGGCAACGTCCGTGGCGACACCGACAGCGAGTCCGGTTCAAAATGAGCAGGGAATGATATTCGTCTTCGTACCCAGTTTTCCGTACCCATTTCTGTCCTCCAGAACCTCAAAACCCCAGCCAGCCGCTGTTGGGCAGGCGGCCTTCTGTCTCAAATGGGCAACGTCCGCGGCGACTCCGACAGCGAGTCCTGTTAATCCCACCGGCCCTCTGGGCGTCGGTGGTTTAGAGAGTTTCCTTTTCCACCCCTCCTTCTTCCCATTCGGGGAGGGGTTTACCCCTCCCCCTAGCCCCTCCCCTGGACCTGGACGGGGGGTTTCGCGAGGTGTCAGGGTGTCCGAAAATGCCTCGGCGAGGAAACCAGCATCGTTGGTTTACCAAGGTTTTGGCCCCATTTTGGCCTCCTGAAGGGGGGACCTTCATTGAAGCTCCCCTCGTGTTTGATCGATCTCCTCCAAGATGGCCCCAAGAGGCGCCCAGGAGGCCCCAAGAGGCCCGAAGATGGCCCCATGATTGCCCCAAGAGGCCTCCAAAAGGCCCCCACGAGGACCCCAAGCGGCCCCAAGAGGCCTCCCCGAGGCACCTCGGACGCCCAAGAGTCCCTCAGGACGGCCCTCTACTCGCCTGGGCGTCGTTTCTGGATGGGCTGGTGGCGATATTTTTTTTTGGCACGGCCGCAGGCGAGCGCGCCAGCAGCGTCAGAGGTCGGGCGGGCTACGCGCGAACCTACTGCCTAGCGTACGGGGACCGACGGCCGAATCAAGGCGGCCTAAGCTGCCTAAACTGCCTGGTGGGGATACTTTTTGGTTGGCGGCTCCCAGGCGAAAGGGTCAGGAAGCGGGATAAACGGCTGGGGCACATGCCGAAGATAATTGGCCAAAGCAGCGCGCAAACCGCAAAGGCGAGTGCACGTGCGAGGGACAAAATGACCCTCATTAAAGAGATGCAAGAGACGGATGACGTTAATTGAGCACGGCAAACCGCTGTGGACGTCCCGACGGGTGGAGACGCCACGCCGCGACGCGCCGCGGTAACAGCGTCCAGTGTGTGGAATCCGCACCACACGACGCGGCGAGCGACGGCAACAGCTGTACGGCTAGCCATGTGTACCGTAGCAGCGCGGGGAAGTCGCCCTGTCGGCGCCAAACCCCGGCCGAGACACACGGGAGCGAGGCGAAGAGGAAAGCGGGAGAGCCGCTGCGGACGCCAGACGGGCATCCAACGACAGAAAGAAAAGGGCAGGCGGCACAGAGGGGGCCTCACTCACCATGACTCACTGCCGCAGACCTCGGGTATGCCCGCCCGTGGACACGGGAGCGAGGAAGATCCAGTCAGCGAACATGAGGTAATGTCACTTCCAGCCTGTAGCCAGTGCGTACACAACTTATCCGATGCCTGGTGGGGATACGCGAGGCGTCTAGAATTCACCAGGGAATGCTGTTCGCTTTCGTACCCAATCTTTCCGTACCCCTTTGAGCGACGATCGAAAACGGGTCTTACGCGAGATGACGCAGCGAACTTACGCGGTGGCTTACGGAGGCCGCCAGCGCGGCACGCCATATTGGAGACGACGGCGCTTACGCGAGACCTTACGCGGGCAGCTTACGCGCCAATGTCGGCGCAGACGTCCCCGTTCTTCTGCGTCGCCCATTTCGGTCCTCCAGAACCTCATACCCCCAGCCGACTCCAACTTCCACGATGCCCGGATCCCGGGAGCCCGTGGTCGCCAGGGAGCTGCCGCTGCCCGAGGTTGTGTAGGGCACGCGCTCGAAGCTGCCGATGGCGTCGTAATGGTAGACGGCCCCCTGCCGCAGCGGGGAGGGGGCGCCGCGCGGGCTGGCCCGCAGGGGCGCGGAGAGGAGGGAGCGGGGGGGGGGGAGGGGGGAGAGAGGGGAGGAGGGAGGAGGGGAAGAGGGGGGGGGGCGAGGGGAGGAGGGACGGGGGGAGGGAGGAGGCGAGGGAGGGGGTGCCGCGCGGGGGAGGGGGGGGGGGGGAGAGCCGGGAAGGGAGGAAGGAGGGGACCCCGAGATCCTGGCGTTGCAGTTTTTTCACACCGGGCGGTGTCGACTGGTTTCGGAGACCTCACAGGTCGATCTGGCTTGAAAAATGACGCAGGAAGATGAGGTCCAGAACTCTGGTGGTGATTTTCTGCGATGCTGTTTTGCCTGCAGCGTCAGATCGAAAGGGAGAGCTTTTGAAGACTTTGGCGGCTCCAGAAGGCCTGCTGAGGCACAGCAGCGACTAAGCTGAAGCACGCCGTGCTGGGCAATGATGCCCCCAATGCGACCTTGCCAGCCACGCCGACACGGTGCGTGCCTCCACAGACGATGGGGGATTCGCCGGCCCAACGGGCCAGAGGCGTGCTCAAATCTTCTGTAGCAAGTGAACTGTATATCCAACTCGCGCGCGCGAGGCGGCCCCCGGGGGTCCCTGGACTGGACGAAACATACCCCGGGCGAACCCCGGCCAACTTCCCAGCACTCGCGGGCGGTTGGGCGGTACTCCCAGGGGCGGTCTTGGGGGCCCTCAGGCTCGGCCCACGAGCGCCCCAAGGGACCCCGAAGGAGCCGCAAGAGGGATCGAGAGTCAGGATCCAATAGGTAGCATGCCTCAAGATGGCATGAAAACATGTCCAAAAGGCCTCAAGATGGCCCCAAGATGGTCCCGGACAGGCCCAAGAGGTCTCCCAGAGGCTTACAATATCTGATTTCCGTCGGTTTTGAAGGATTTTGGTGTCACCGCCTTTTCGGGCTCCCGACCGGCCAGGACGGCGGAGCAGGCGCATAGATCGCCCTGTCAGAGCGGCCCCAAGACAGCCCAAGAGGGCCCCAACACGGCCCAAGAGGTTCCCCAAGATGGCTTTGAAGGCTTCCAAGAGGGCCTCAGCAGTGGGAATCCGAACTGACATGTCGAACCCTTTCCCGAAAGATGGCTCCCGAGACCGCCAGCAGGCCCCCAAGAGGCTCCCATGATGCCCCCAGAGACGCAAAAGACTTCCCCAAGCGGGGCCTGGAGGTCCCCCAAAATACCGTCAAGAGGCCGCCGAAAGGCATCCCAAGAGACCCCAAGAAGCCTCCTAAAGAGGTGTCTTGTCCATGGCCCAGTTTGGCCCCAAGAATGAATGTCCAAAGAAGCCATCGAGAAGCCTCGTCCTCATCCTTGCGTCTTCCTCCTCCTCCTCCTCCTTCTTCCCGCTCGACACGAGCACCTTCGAGGGCAGATGATGAGCTGGAGGATGGAGGAGGATGAGAAGCACTAACAACAAGTGCTACGAGGGGCTTCGCGGATTCCGCCGTCAACATGACATGTAACCTCAATTCTATTTGGGACACATACAACACGAGTGAAGCGTGTTCCCAACACTAGGCTCACGCGTGTGACAACTCCTGGGATACTTACAAACACTAGCGAGATGTGCCCTCAGGGCTGCGAAAGCTTTGTTTCGGCGCACCCGTCACGCATTTCTTCTCTACCATTACTCTGGGGCGCGGAAAAATACGAGTGAACAACGCCTTCGTGACTACGACACTGCCATTTGGGCACATCCCTCACGCATTTCCTGATCCACGCTTTTCTGGGACACGTGCAACTACGAGTGATATGCGCACACCCTTCTGGGACACGTGAAAATACAAGTGATCTGCGCTCCCAGGCTCCTGAGACATGTGAAAAACTAGTGACTTGGGCCTCGAGGCTCCTGGAAGAAGTAAAAATACGAATAGAACCTTGGAGTCTCAATTCGGTACCCCCCTCACGCACGCCGTGCCCCACGGACTCAAAAAGTGCCTCAGCTGGCCTTCAAGACCACTTAATCCCACAAGGGATGCAAACACGCTCCCAAGAAACGTTGCAAATATTGGTGCCGACCATCGTCGAGGCAGTACCTTAACACCCACTGATTGCAAACAGCAAACATATGCGTGCAAGCTTCCTCCGGGGGGCCCGTCGTATCTCCCGCTCTGCGCGGTCAAGAATACTCTGACCGAGGCCGTGCCACACCCAACGACGAAAGACCATCCCGAGTTGGGCACAGAAGCCCCCAGCTCGGCATGCCCCTCCAAGGAGGGGGGGAGGGACGGAGGGCTGGGAGGAGGGACGGGGGCTGCAATGCGCCAACGATGCTGCAATGCGCAGTCCCGTCCCAAGTCCCCTTTTCGGACGTCCCCGTGGCCCTTCCCTTCGCTCCAGAGAGCTCTCCCTTGAAGGGCGGGCGCCCCGTGAGTCCGCCGTGCAGGCGCAGGCCCCCTTTCGGACAAGGAGCTGCCTGCCTGGCTGCCCAGGCTGCCCCGTTGATGTAAACGGAGGTGGGGAAGCATGGCCGTGTGATTCGAGGGGGGACCAACGAGAGCCCTGTCTTGAAAAGGAACCGCCCTCCAAGCTCCACCCTTGCAACTGTTGCATTCGTCACCCTGACAACTCAGAAAACTCTGGCGAGCGGCCCGCTTCGAGAAGGAAACGTCTTGCATCCTGGTAGCTGCTGCGCAATTGCAAACATCTTGCCGGCGAAAGCCCCGTCTTGAACACAAATCGCCCACCGTGCGTGCAGCTGTCAGGAACTTTTGAGACGAGTGTGCGCGCGTTAAGACGAGAACCACAATGTGCAAACCAACCGCCATCCATCCGTGTAGCCGTGTGGCTTGTACCTGCTGGCAGCATTTTCAGAATGGACATGCGCGGTGCGCGGGGCCAGGGCAGCAACGCAGCTTGAAAACCAACCGCCCTCCGTCCGAGTAGCTGATGGGAATGCCGAGGCGGCTCAGGATCACTAGCGGTGAGGAAATATCAAGCGAAACGCCTGGGCCGCCGCCCTACCGACACGCCTGGTGGCGCGGTGTGGACGAGGAAAAGGCATTGGGGCGCCCGGCGAGCGAGCGAGCGAGCGGCATGCGGAAAATCCGTGTCCGTGAAGGGCTGCCGGTGCATTGTTTCCACTTCTCACGCGCGCTTCTCGCAGGGTTGGACAGAAGAGCGGATGATCGTATAACTTCCAGGCCAGAACAAAACAACACTTCTTTCGGGGTGTTTCTTGCAAGCGTTGGGGGCGACAGGGGGGGGCCCTAACCTTCATGCCCATCCCCGATCCCCTCCCGCTCCGGCTCACAGGTTTCCCTCTGTCTCGCTCATTTCATGTCCCATCCCAAAACGCCCTCCTCCTGTTCACACGTGTGTGGATATACCCACCAGCCCTCTGGGTGCAGGTGTTTTAGAGCACGGTATCTTTCCTGCCCCCCCTTGCCTCCTCTCGGGGGAGGGGACTCCTCCCACTGCCCTCCTCTCTTGGGTCTGAAGGGAGGTCAGAGCGTCTGCGATTGCCATGCGTAGATGGCCCCACTATGGCTCCAGATGGCCCACGATCGCCGCCAAGAAGGCGCAATAGACTGAGTTGGACCAGCATGGCCTCCAGCATGCCTCCAAGAGGGCTTGGGATCGCAACAGGACAGCCCTTGTTGTTGGCCTCGGAACCTCTTAAGGATGGATTGCCCGAGCCGGCGGTGATTGCTTCCTGTCCCTTTCGCCAATGGTGGTGCCTCCACATGGGCCACGAGCGCAAAGATGGGCCCAGAAAGGTCCCAAGGCGGCCCGACGGCCTCCAATATTCTTCCCCGAACACCTCTAGAGCGACGGTCAGAGGATCGGCCCATGACGGCCCCGACGACCCCCAAGAGGGCCTCAAGAGAGCCCCAATATGGGCCCCAACGTGCCAACCGATTCAACTATAGCCCAGGTGTGGCTCCAAGAAGGCTCCAAGACCGAAATAGATGCGAAGGCCTTTTTGGTAGACTCCGAAACGGCAAGAAAAGGAGGAAAAGGATCCCGTCGTTGCTCTTCTTCTCCCGACGACTCGCCTGGACAAGGCTTCGGGATGAACTGGTGGCTGGGGATATTTTTTTTGGTCGCGGCCGCGAGACGACGGTCAGGCGGCGAGAGCAAAGTCCGGGACGCGAACTAGGCGAATCAGCTAAGACAGGCGCAGGCCGGCCGGCCCACTCAGACAGCAGCTGCGGAGCTTAGGGGGGGGTGAAGCTGGACCGAGCGGCGCACTGCAAGCTCGGGCACGTGCACAGGACAAAATGTTTCGGAATTCAAACTTGCCATGGCACAGCCCACACCGAGGGGACGCGGACCACGATGGGCAAGTCCGTCGTGCTGGGTGATGGCAAGAGGGCCATTGGAGTGAGTCGCCAATGTGGCGCCAGGCTCCGAACGGACGACCTGAGCTAGCCAGACAGGCTGAGCAGTCGTGAGCCGTGGTGCAACGCAACTGGGGAGGCTGAAGGTGAACCTGTAGGGCTGTACCTGCTGCGGAAAGCTGTACCGCTCTGCTGCAACATGGTCAGCCCCAGTCAGACCACGCCACAGTGCAAGGAGGTAACCGAGCGACTGTGAGCCACGCAGCGCGTGCCGGCAAGGCAAGGCCACTGAGTGACGGGGAAACCCGCTGGCGTGGTGAGCATCGCCAGCGAGGAAAGAAAGATGCAGTGCACTGGAAGTGGTGGTTCCGTGACGGCGAGCCGGACCAGAGCAGGTGGGTCCCCAAGAGAACAGGTTGAGCTGTACCTCGCTGGGCACGTGGCGCCGGTGCGAGCGGAATGTGCTGTTGTCTCAGGGCGGTGCGCCTGGGGGGGGCTGCACGGTGGTAGACACGAGGGCCGCCAGACGCGAGTCAGGCCTAGTCCGCCGCTGGCACATCCACCCGGGCCCCCGGAGCGTCAACGAACACCACGTGGTCCTCCAGGGTCGCAGCTGACCGCCGCTGGGAGTGATAAGACAGTTCACGTACAGCGAGGGACGTGGGCGGCCCAGGGAGGGGGGGCAACGCCACCAACGTCGGACAGTACGTCGGCGGGCCCTGGGGCCAAGAGCGGGGGACACCCGCCTGGCCCCCGAGGAGAGAGGCGGGGGGAACGCCGCCCCTCTCCCCGGTCTGGCCCCCGCACCCGTGGGATAGGGGAAGTGGTTGCTGGTACCTCCAGGGTCGCAGCTGATCGCCGCTCAAGTGGCTGGGGATATTTTTTTTGATTAGCGGCCCGCAAGGTAAAGTCCAAAGGGCGGTATGACCGAGGCTGGGGCACAGCGCAAGATAATTAGCGCGAGAACGCGCGGAATGCACCTGCAGAACAAATTGGGGAGGCGGCCGCAATTGGGCAACCAACGAACACAGGCCGGACCCGCAGGTGGGGACCCGGACCGGTACCCTGCCAGAAGAGTACACGTTGACCCAAGCAGAAAACCGCAGGGCGGATGCCAGCGAAAGAGAGGCGGCCACAGGTGGGCAACCACAGAACACAGGCCGGACCCGCAGGTGGAGTACCGACCGGCATCCGGAAGAAAGAGAGCGGAACCAGGTGGCGCGAGCGAAACAAACGGCCCGCGACCGTGGCTGGGGATACGCGAAGCATCAGGAATGAACTTTCCCTCCCGCTCCTCAACCGACTCCTTCCTCATTGTTGCTTTTGTCCCTCTTCCTCCTGCCTCCTCCATCCTCCTCCGAACCATGCTCCCCCCCTCGTCCTCCAGCTTTCCCTGCTCCTCTCCCATGCGCGTGTGTGTGTGTGTGTGTGTGTGTGTGTGTGTGTGTGTGTGTGTGTATGTGTGTGTGTGTGTGCTTCCGCGAGGCGCCCACCCTACCCTCGTCCTTCATTGTTGCTTTTGTCGCTCTTCCTCCTGCCTCCTCCATCCTCCTCCGAGTCATGCCCCCCCCTCATCCTCCAGCTTTTCCTGCTCCTCCCCCATATGCGGGGGGCTGCCGCGGGGCGCCCACCTTACCCTCGTCGTCGATGCCCACCAAGACGTTGAAGGTGTAATACGGGAAGAAGCGCTCGGGGCTCGTTTTGCGCGGACGGGGGAAGAGCGGAGGGGGGAGGAGCAGGCAGGAGACCGAGGCAGGAGGGTGGTTCGGGTCGGGCGAAAGGGGGGGATAGCAAAGGGGGGGTTTGAGAATCAGCTCGCGTAGCTGATTTTCCTGGCGCCTCCCGGCGCCGGAGACGGCTATGTATCGAGGAATGGGCCCCTCGGTGAGGCCCAAACCAGCTGCATGCAGCAGATTTCGTAACCCCCCCTTTCCCAATCCCCCCCTTTCGTTCGGCCCGAGTGGTGGTGGGGGAGGCTCTCCAGGATCACGCCGGCTTCCAAGGGCCACACGTCAGCCCCCCCCCCCGCTCGACCACCGCCCCGCCCATGGCCAAGGCCACCCGACTTCGACTCGCGCCGCGGCGCGCGCGGCCCGCGCGTGGAGAGGGGCAGCCCTCTGAAGCCCCGCGAGGAGGAGGAGGAGGAGGAGGACGAGGAGGAGGAGGAGGAGGAGGAGGAGGAGGAGGAGGAGGAGGAGGAGGAGGAGGAGAAGGAGGAGGAGGAGGAGGGGATCTTCTGACCCGGGTCAATCCAGGACCCGGGTCTTCAGGAAACCGAAAGCTGCAGTGCAGGAACAAAAAAAACTGCAACGCAAGTCTTCGCAAAACCCGGGTCAGCCAATGTGCGCGGCCGCCCCGCGGCCACGAGCGGCTCGCTAACCCGGGTCAGCCAGAGGGGGTCTTCGCAGGATCCTGCAGGATCCGGCGCCCTGGCTGGACCCCGTCTGCACTGACCCCCGTCTCAAGGCTCCCGATTTCGCGCCCGTGCGGGCGATCCGGCAGGCACAAGCAGGCAGTGCCCTTCTCTAGGGCGGCGCCGCGAGGACAGGGAAAGCCGGCCACGTAGTAAACAGTCCTCCTCCTCCTACTCCTCCTCCTCCTCCTCCTCCTCCGGCTGGTCTCGTCTAGCTCCCGATGCTGGCCTTGCCGTACAGCATGGTCGACAGCAGCTGCGCGATCGCGGTCACGCTCGGCGGCCGGCGGTGCTGGTGCTCGTACATGACCTCGGCACCGTAGGCACGTGCGTCAATTCTCTTTGCTGCAGCATCTCCAGGGGCACATTGATCGGTCGACATTGGACCTCGCAAGAAGTCTCCGGACCTCCAGCGGCCGTCCAAGGGGGACGTCGGGTAATCCGCCGGCACCCTTTCTAGGGCCACCAGGCCGCAGGACTGGGTTGCTGCTCCCTGCGCCAGTTGCAGTTTCAAGTCTCCAATGTCACAGTCCTGCTTTCTGCTTCCTACTGTAAATTGTTGAAATCCGCGCGAGGGGGGGTGAGCTCCAAACCGTTCAATTTACCACGCCCAAGTCGTGTTGCCTGAATTTCCGGGGGGCGTGAGACATGTAAACATACTTGAGATTCGCGCCCCCGAGGCCATAATCCATGGTAATTACACAATGTTCGCGGCCCCAAGGCCACAAGCCCTCGTAAATCGCGCGATTCTTGCGTCCTGGAGGCAACAAGCCCTCGTACATTATGCAATATTCGCGTCTCCGAAGCCTCAAGCCTTGGCAAATGACATCATTTTCGCACTGCCGAGGCCAAGAGTGCTCCAAGGCGCCCGAAGATGGTTCCAAGACGGCCCAAAGAGGCTACAAGAGCGCTCCAAGAAGCATCCCGAGAGAGGGAGAACCCCAAGAGGCTAAAACCGTAGATTTTAGAAGGTTTTTGAAAGACTTTGGCCTTCTCGCATTTTCGGGTTTCCGACGCTCAAGACGGCTCAAGAAGCTCCCAAGACCGCCTGTCTCCAAGATGGCCCCAAGACGGCCTAAGAGGGCTCCAACATGGCCCAAGAAGCGCTCAAGACGGCCCAAGAGGGCCCCAAGACGGCCTCAAGAGGGGCCCAAGCAGGGGACCACGATCCGAAAATTCTATGTTTGTGCCCCGAGAAGCAACCAGGATGCCCCTAGAGGCCGCTAAGAAGCCCCAAAAGGTGCCCAAGACGCGCCCAAGAGGCCTCCAAGAGGCACTTCCTCACAATTTATTCCCAAATCGCGCTCGCGCGCGGGACTTTCTCAAAGTTTGTACACGAATCGTACTCAGACGTCGCGCCTCCGACACTCAGGAATCACGCTCTCGCTGTGGATTCCCTGGCGATTTATTTGGGAATCGCGCTATCGCTCGAAACTTTCTCGCGAGTCCTGCAGGACGCACGCTTTAGCAACCCGCCTGCTCGACCTGGCCGCCTGGCCCGCCTTCCCGACCCGCCCGCTAAGGTTTACCCGCCCGGTCTGCTCGTCTGGTTCTGCCACGTGCTTTCTGCTCCTAGCCCCCTCCTGCTTTTCTCTGTCGCGTTCCATCCTCCTCACTCTCACTTATTCCTTCCTTCCATCCGTCCTTTCTTCCCCTATCTTAGGGGCTGCACGTAATACACGTTGCAGGTAAGAAAGGTATAACCCCCAAGGTGGTACGATCGAAGACGACGAGGGCGGGCATCGAGGGTTTGGGATATACTTACTGAGTGGCACGCGAGTAGATAAGAACGGACAATAGTAATATGATTGTTGTTGTTGTTGCTGTTGTTGTTGTGTTGCTGCTGTTGTTGTGGCTGTTGTTGCTGCTGCTGCTGTTGCTTGTCGTTTGTATGTTGTTTGTTGTCGTCGTCCCGCCCGCGACCCGGCCCGCTCCCCACCCGCAACCAACCCGCGACCCAAAAAGCGACTTATCCGCGACCCACCCACGACCCAAAAAGCGACCCATCCGCGACCCACCCGCGATCCACCCCGCGACACACAGCGCGGCCCGCCCGCGACCCACCCGCGACTCGCCCGCGATATACCCGCGACACGCCCCGCGCCCGACCCCTCACCCTTATCCGCAACCGCGGGGTGCTACACAATTCCTCCCTGTCGCACCGCCATTGGTGCCGGCAGGGCGTCCAGGCATTTCGCCTGAGACTTCCGCATCACGCATGATGCCGAAGCCAGAAGTTCCAAGGATGGGGGCGGGTCCTTTTCGAAATGTGGTCTCTCGCCCTAGCGCCGCGCAGGATCGTCTTTAAGGTACGCAGCAGTTGCAAGGATGGAGGGTGGCCTGTTTTCAAGCTGTGTTCTCGCCCTAGCGTTGAGGGACGTTCGTTTTGGAAAGTTGCAACACTTTGAACATGGAGGGTGGGTCCTTTTCAAAATGTGGCTCTCGCCTTGGCGTCGCGCGTATTCTTCTTCAGCGGTTGCAGCAGTTACAGAAGGATGCAAGGCGCTTGGTTTTCAAATCTGTGCTCTCGCTCAAGCGCCGCGCACGTGACAACTGCACGGATGGAAAGTGATTCCTTTCCAATGTGGGGTTCCTGCTCGAAACTTCCCCAAGCCTCATAGCCACAAGTGTAAAGCACGGTACCAATGTACAACATCAGCATGGGCGGGAGTGCGGCCCCTCTTCAGAGGGAGCCTCTCGCTGGACACCTCGCTGAGTTTCGTCATCCAGCCTGTCAGCTTTCATAGCCCGCTGAAGCATGCACGGCAGTTCCTTTCCCAAGAGGGGCGCTCGCCCGGGTGGCAGTTCCATGGGGTGCGCGTCTCTCAAGGCTCAAGGGGGCGCTCCTTGCAATGAGATATATGGATTTCTGGGGAGGCGGCTTGGGGCGTGAGGGTGTGTTGCATCATCGTCGATGCATCCTGGGTCTACTCATGCCCTCCTTCTCCTCCTCCCCCTTCTCCCCCTCCTCCTCCTTCCCTCCTGCCCCTCTTCCTGCTCCACCTCCTCCCTCCGCGGCAGCCTCGTCCTCATCCTCCTCGCCCTCCTCCTGCCCCCTCCCACCCTTCCCTGCCCACCCCGAGCGCCCGCGCGCCGCTGCACCCCCCTCCGCCCGCCGCGCCGTCCGTCCGAGCACGAGGCGATGCGCGCCCGGAGCAGGCGGTGCAGCGTGATGGCGTCGGCCTTCATGCCTCGCGCGGGTGCGGGCGAGGAGGAGGAGAAAGATGCGGAGGAGGAGGAGGAAGAGGAGGAGGAGGAGGAGGAAGAGGAGGAGGAGGAGGAGGAGGAGGAGGAGGAGGAGGAGGAGACGGAGGAGGAGGAGACGGAGGAGGAGGAGGAGGAGGAGGAGGAGGAGGAGGAGGAGGAGGAGAAGGAGGAGGACCACTGTAAACCCAAGACCCATCAAAGACGATGGAAAAGCCCTCTTTCCAAACTCGCTACGGGAAATGCCCCGTTGGCGGACAATCCTGTGAAAATCCGGAATGGTGTCAAAACGCAACCCTCGGAACTTCAGCACCACGAATCAAATTGACGGTTGCTTCTTGACGATCCTGAACCGTGCCAGAACACAATTCCTGGGACGTCAAAACTGCGAACATTCCTGATTCGTTCAAAAACACCATTGGAACCCGTGAAACTCTCGCGCATGTTTAACACCATTGTGCACGGCGCTAAAATAAGAACCACATTTCGAAAAAGGACCACCCTCAATCCGTGAAGCTCTTGCAAGCTCTCATAACGAATGTGCGCGACGCTAACGCAAAAAACACATTTCGCAAAGGAACCGCCCTCAATCTGTGGAGTTCTTGCAAATTTCAAAACGAATGTGCGCGGCGCTAAGGCGATAGCCACGTTTTGAAGACGGCCCGCCCTCAATCAGCGGAACTCTTGCACATTCTTTAAAACGAATGTGCGCGGCGCAAAGGCGACCGCCACATCTTTCAAACCGAAAAGGAGGAGGAGGAGGAGGAGGAGGAGAAGGAGGAGGAGGACGAGGAGGAGGAGGAGGAGGAGGAGGAGGAGGGGGAGGAGGAGGAACAGGAGGAGGAGGAGAAAGTCCAGTGCACCCCCAAGACTCATCAACGATGTTGGACTACACCCTCCCTCCAAACACCCTCTTCATAGGACCGTGCATAGATCCACATCTACTGAGTGAAGTGGCCCGTTGGGAAACAAACGCGTGAAAATCCTGAAGTGTGCCAAAACGCCAGTCTCACGACTTCAACGCCACGAGTCAACATGAGTGTTGCGTCTTGGCGATCCTGAGTCGTGCCAGAACACCATTCCTGGGATTTGAAGACAGCAAATCAACGTAACAATTGCGTCCTGACAATCTGGAATCGTTCGGCAACGCCATTGTTGTAAGGATAAGCATGAAGACCCGCGAAACTCTGGCAAATGTTTGGAACGAGTGTGCGCGTCGCGAAGGCGAGAACAACATGTAGAAAACGACCCGCAATCAGTCCGTTCAACTCTTGCAATTTGTAGAAGCGAATGCGCGTGGTGCTAAAACGAATGAACACGATTCGCCCTCAATCCATGAAGCCCTTGCGAAGTTATAAATCGAATATGCGCGGCGCTAAAGAGAACGCCACATTTTGAAAACGACCTGCCCTCAACCCGTGAAGCCGTGGCATTTTTGAAACGAATGTGCGCGGCGCTCAAGCGAGAACAACAATTTGGAAACAACGCTCCATCAATCCGTGAGGCTCTTGCAATTTGTGTGAGACGAATGTGCGCGGCGCTAAAGCATGAGCCATAGTTTGGAAACGACTTCCGTTTCCGTCTGTGAAACACTTGCCACTTGTTAAGCTTCAGGCTCATAAGCGGTAAAGAAGTTTCATGCGAAACGCCCGGCCAATCCTTCCGACTGGCCTCTTGGTTCGACAGGGAGGAGTGATTCATATGGAAAAGGAATGGAAATGAGGAGGAAGAGGAGGCGAGGAGGAAGAAAGTAGCAGGAGGAGGAGGACGATAACTACTGGAAACCCAAGACCCATCAACGATTTTGGAAAAAACTACTCTTCCAAGCTGTCTCTTGATATACCCCTACAAGGATTGAAGGGAAATGCCCAGTTGGCGGACAATCTTTTGAAATTCCGGAAGAATGCCAAAGCACCGTTCTCAGGATTTCAACGCCAAGAGTCAACCTGACTGTTGCGTAATGACGATCTGGAATCGTGCCAGAACGTCATTTCTGGGACGTCAGCGCCGCGAGTTACCGTCAGTGTTGCCCCCGGACGATCCTGAATCGCTCAAAGAAAACATTTCTGATTCATTACTCATGAGAACTAGTGAGGCTCTTGTGAGCATTTAGAACGAATGTGCGTGGCGCTAAGGCGAGAGACAAATTTTGAAAAGGAGCCGCCCGCCATCCGTTCAACTCTTGCAAATTATTAAAACGAATGTGCGCGGCGCCATCTGAGAGTCACATTTTGAAAACGACCCGCCCTCAATCCGCGAAGCTCTTGCAACATTTAAGCGAATCTGCGTGGCGCTAGGACGAAGACCACATTTTCAAAACGAGACGCCCTGAATCCACGAAGCTCTTGATTTTTTGGAACGCGGCACACAAACGAGAACAACATTGTGATAACGACTCGCCATCAATCCGTGAAGCGCTTGCAATTTTTGAAATGAGTGTGAGCAGCGCTAAGGCGGGAGCCACATTTTGGAAACGACTCGCCTTCCATCTGTGATGCTGTTTTCAAATTTAAGCTTCAGGCTCATACGTGGTACGGAAGTCTCAAGCGAAACGCCCGGCCCGCCCTTCTGAGTGGCCTGTGCGTGCGACAGGGAGGAGTGATTCATGAGAGAAAGGACTGGGGGATGAGAAGGAAGAGGGAGCAGGAGGAGGGATGAGGGAGGAGGGGGAGGGAGGAAGGAGGAGGAGGAGGCGGATGGGCAGGGAGGATGAAGGGGAGGGGAGGAGAAGAGAGAAAGAGGAGGGTGATATCTCATACGCCTCTTCGTTGTTCTCGTAATGGACGTCGTCCTCATGATCGTCCTCCTTCCCTGCTCCTGCATCATCCTGTTTGGTAGACAAAGCTACCACCAAACAGTTACATTGCAAAGCACCTGCGTGCATCGGACATGTCTTTTTACACACTGACTGGCTACTCGTCGCGCCAAGCTCACCCGTAGGACGACGGAGAGTCCCAGTCGATCGTGGAAGCTGTAAGGGTCACGTCCCCCAGCATCTGCCCGTGGGAGCCTCTGTCCCGGCTGGGGACGTTTCGACCACGATTGCAACGACGATTACGGCGACGACGACTCTTCTACCCGCGGTGGGGGGCCAGGACGCCTCTGGCCGCCGCCCGTGGAAGAGCCCCCTCCCCCGCCTGGGGCTGCCGTGCTGGCCCTTGATCCTCCTCCTCCTCCTCCTCCTCCCCCCTCCTCCCTCCTCCTCCTCCTCCCTCCTCCTCCTCCTCCAGGGCTTGACGCCAGCCCATGTCCGAATCAAATCCCCCTCCCCCTCCCCCTCCCTCCTCCTCCCCTCCTTCCCCCTCCTCCTCCCTGCTCCTCCTCCCTCCTCCTCCCTCCTCCTCTACTCCTTTTCCTCCTTTTCCCTCCTCCTCCTCCTCCTCCTCCTCCTCACCTGTGGAGGCGGAAGACCTGTCCTGGCCCTGCCTGCCTGCCCGGGGCGGGGTGGCGCCGAGAGAGCTCCCCGCCCCCGCGGGGGGGCTGCCGCAGGAGGAGATGACGCACTTGCTGGTCAGCTGCGTGGCCTCCGGCAAGCCAGGCAGTGGCAGGGTGGGTGGGGCTTTTTTTTTTTTTTTTTTTTTTTGTTTTATTTTTTATTTTATTTTTTATATAGAAAACTATACATGCGAACGACCTTTCATCCGATGCTTCTGTGCAGTGCCATTTCGGCTGAAGAGCCCCTGGAGGGCGAAAGCTACCTGCGCTTGGCACACAAAACACATCAGCATCCGAGCAGGCTTGGTAGTCCTTTCGATCGGGGGGTCGCTCCGCTGTCCCTCGTCAGAAGCTGGGCGAGGGCTTGGCAAACCCGTGGCTGCTGAGACGGTCTGCCCAGAAGAAGGAAAGACACATTCCCGGAATAGAACTCCACGCGCCAAATGATAAACGGGCTGCTTCCCAGAAGAAACAACGATTTCCCGGAGCTCCGTTTTAGCAGCCGCGGGTTTGCCAGCCTTCCCCTGGCTTCTGACCTTGGTAGGCTAGGACAACTATCTTCGCGCTTTTGGGCCGACCCCCCAGAACAGGGTGAGGGACTCGCGCCTCGCGCCTCGCTCTGAAATCGCCCAGGCCGCGAAGCGCGACTAACTTGGCACCCTCGTGGTGGCCCTATGTGGATGGGGTCGGAGGATCGAGCCGCATCGCCGATGCGTTGGCGATGCGGCTCGATGTGGAGCCCGACTTTCTCCACGCCGACGTCGCCGAAGTATCGAAAACGTCGCCGATTCATCGGCGATGCATCGGCGATGTATCGGCGATGCGTCGGCGATGCGGCGCAACCCTTCAGACCTAGACTGGGGCCTACAGCAGGGGTGGATACAGCCAGCGCGTACAATAAGGACGCACGATAAGGATAGAAAGGCCCTGGAAGGCCATGCCGACACTTTTCGAGCGGTGTGCGGCCAGCGAAAGTGGTACCCTTGAACACGTGCGAGGAAGACGCAGGGGCCCTGGGAAGGCCACGCCGGCACCTTTTCTCGAGCGGGGTGCGGCCAGCGCCCGTGGGCCAAGGATGAGCCGAGGGGGTGCCCTTGGATAGTCGCTCGCCCCTGCTGCCCGTGCTCACCTCGGCCGTGGAGGGCGGGCTCGACGCGTGCCCGGGGGCCCCGACACCCGCCGAGCTCGACGAGGGCCCCTGGGCGATCTGCGTGCTTGGCCTCTCTGACGACGACGACGCCGCCGCCGCCGACGATGACGACGACGACGACGACGACGACGACGACGACGACGACGACGACGACGACGACGGTGACGGTGACGGTGACGACGACGACGACGACGACGACGACGACGACGACGACGACGACGACGACGACGACGACGACGACGACGACGACGACGACGACGACGACTGCGACTATGACGATGACGAGGCCTCCCCACTCTGCCTCGCCTTGCCTCCTCCCCGCTGTCCTCCTCCTCCTCCTCTCCTCCTCCTCCTCCTCCTCCTCCTCCCCCTCCTCCTCCTCCCCTCCTCCTCCTCCTCCCTCCTCCCTCTCCTCCTCCTCCTCCTCCTCTCCCCCTCCTCCTCCTCCTCCTCCTCCTCCTCCTCCTCCTCCGCCCCCTCCTCCTCCTCCTCCTCCTCCTCTCCTCTCTCCTCCTCCCCCTCCTTCCTCCTCCTCCTCCTCCTCTCTCCTCCTCCTCCTCCTCCCCCCTCGCTCTCCTCCTCCTCCTCCTCCTTCCTCCTCCTCTCCTCCCTCCTCCTTCCTCCTCCTCCTCCTCCCTCCTCCCCCCTCTCCTCCTCCTCCTCCTCCTCCGCCTCCTCCTCCTCCTCCTCATCCTCCTCCTAAGACGAAGCCAAGGCTAGGGTAAAGACGGATGGCGATAAATCGAGACTCTCTGAAATCCGGCGGATCTCATGAAGACAGCTGCGGCGCCGCAACATTCTCCCAAAACGCCCCCTTCTATCCCCCTCCCCCCGTCCCCCCGTGGAGGGCAGCTTGGCCCAACAACACGTGGCAGGAAAACCCATCATCGAATCGAATCGATGGGTCGGGTCGGCGATCGACATCAACCGGATCGGCGGAAATCGGCAGCCAAATCGGGAGAAACCGATCGGCGGAAATCGGCAGCCTCGGAATCGGAAGCCGAACCGGATCGGAATCGGAATCGGGATCGTGCCGCAACAAGTCGGAGGTGTCGAGGTGAACCCCGAGTGCCGCCCCGCCCCGCAGCGTGGCCAAACGGCGTGGCGCTGCGTCGGGCGGGCGATCGCCTCTCGGCCCCCTCGCCCTCCCCTGGGGTCGGCAACGGCTTGGGGCAGGCCGCGGACGGCCTTGCTGCAGTGCCGCGAGTGGATGCGGTAGCCCGTGCTCAGGCGCCTTGGTAAACCAACCGCAAGCAAAAGGACGAGGAGGAGCTAGTCGTGATCGTGCTTAAGCCCCTCTAACCTGCGGACCGCAGCCGCAGACCCAGACAGCAGGGAAACGTGATTCTGATCCCCACCCCAGGCCGCCTTCGCGGGCTGGTGCGCGCAATGCTACGGCGCTGCAGTGCAGGAGGGAACCGCTGATGAGCTTCCTTCTCGCACCTGAGGAGAGCCTTGGTCTTGGCGGCAGGGTAGAGGTGGCCAACGTGAGAGCACACCGGTACAGCATAGGTATTGTAATCTTGGGCACTCTGAACGAAACTGAGGCCGAGGTTCCTTGCATCATCGGCGCGAGACTGGACTAATTTTTTTGCAGTCGGGCGCCCAGGACTCTTCTTGCCCTCTCCAACACAGCAACACTCCCAGGAGCTTACCCGACATTCAGATGATGGGCTTGGATACGTTGAGCCCCCGAGTTTTGAACCCTTGCATGACCTGTTCCTTCTCTGGAATATCGAACATTACTACAACGCACTTCTGGATGTTCAGGGCGAGGCGCCTTACCTTCCCGCGACGATCAAGCGCTTCAGCACAAACGGGAACGTCTTGAAAATATCTCTGGCGACAAAGGACAGGTCCCCCGCGAAGGCTCCCAACTCGAATTCGAAACGGGGACGCAAATGCAGAAAATACTTCAAAACAGGATCCAGGATAATCGCAAATAGCACGCCACTAAGGGGACAACCTTGTTTCATGTTTCGCCAGGGGTAAAAACCAGGCATCCCGTATTCCTCCCATAGAAATCTGTGCCCAGACGTCGTCATACAAGGCAGGAGTTGCCGAGGCCAGAAAAAAGGGCAGCTCCACGCGGCTCAAACTGGTGAGTCTCCAGCCGTGCCAGACACTGGGGGACGCATTCTTGAAGTCGAAGAGCGTGAGACCACTCCTCGCGACACCTAGCGCAATTCCCCGTATAATCATAGTCCCGTCCATCGCGATAATGGTGCCGTTCATCAGTCTCCCCCTTACGAAGCCCCCCTGGTTTTTGTGACAGGTGTCGATGTCTACTTCGTTCAGAATTCTGGCGATGGCGGCAGTGATGATTTTGTAATCGGTGCTGGACAGCGAGATAGGACGAACGACATTGGGCTCCCGAATCCCCTCCCGTCGGCGACTTCACTTTCGGGTAGCAAGTCAGCACGGCAATGAATCAATTCAGGACGCAGGCGCCCGCCACGAAGCACGTGAACGTACAGCTGGTGAAGTGTTGCGCGGGCGGCTTGCCTGCAAACCACCGCGCAGAGCGCGGAGCCTTCATGGCTTCATGGCTTCGGAAGAGCGATGCGACGTTGGACTCGGAGATTACCCAATCGAAACACTGATGGGCCCCCTTGACAAATTGCTCACTCGAGCCATCTGTTTTTTGGATGAGCTCAGAAAACGGACGGTCTGACGGGATATCAGGCTGATCATCGTCATTGAAAACTTGTTGCCGCTGCTTGATGCTGGGTAATGAGATCAACCGCCTGGTTTGGATCGTTATGTATTGCACCGTCAGGCCCTCGAGCAACGATGAACTTCACTCTCGGCCTCATCGAGGCCTGGGCAGAGGCCAGCCTCCGAACCATACGAACAACTTGTTCGGCAGCAGAGGACCCTTCAGGCATGTCGCGCATGCTTCCCGCCTCCTCCTCCTCCTCCTCCTCATACGTGGATGCCGTGAATGTACTAAGATGCATGTGAAGTCCACCTTGATCATTCTAGGACACGTTGGCAGGGTTAAAGAACATATGCAGGCGGCCATACCCACGGCAAGCCCGATGCGCATGAACACTGCTGCCAGAACCAGCAGCTCGAACGAGCTTGAGCGCACAAGCAACTCGCTCAACATCATAACTGACACTTGCAGCCGGCTGCAGAACAGCTACAACCACACAAACTGTTCAGGGGCTGTCGGGCGGTACCAATGCGGAGGGTAAGTGCAGGCGGATGTGCGTCCACATCGTGCTCTGCGCAGTTCCCGTGTATCGCGAGCTGGGATCGCTCCCAGCTCCGTTGCCGACTAGAATTGCGGGGGTTGGAACGGATGAAACTAATACCATGGCGGCGACGTAATGCGGGCTCTTTCTCCTCAGTAACAACGAAGCTGTCGCGCTGGCCCTTGAGCCCAGACGGCAACCAGGCATCCTTATTCGAGTGAGGAGGAGGACAAGGATGAGGATGAGGATGAGGATGAGGATGATGAGGAGGAGGAGGAGCAGGAGGAGGAGGAGGAGGAGGTAGAGGAGGAGAGGGAGGAGAGGGAGGAAGAGGAGGAGGAGGATGAGGAGGAGGATTGTGATGATGATGATGCTGATGATGATGATGATGATGATGAGGAGGAGGGGGAAGATGAGGATGAGGATGAGGAGGAGGAAGAGAAGGAGGAGGATGAGGAGGAGGAAGAGGAGGAGGAGGAAGAGGAGGAGAAGGAGGAGCAAGAGGAGGAGAAGAGGAGGCGGAGGCGGAGGCGGAGGCGGAGGCGGAGGAGGAGGAGGATGAGGAGCACGAGGCGCCTTGGCTTTGCACGCGCCGTGGGTCGATTGGATCGTCCAGTCACTGGTCGGCAAGCATTTTTCCCCTCGCCTCCTTCCTGTGAGGCTCGGCGGTGCGATGGGGGCGGCAGTCGATGAGGGCAGGGGGCCTTCTCAGTAGGGCTCGGAGGCTTCTGACCAGGCATCTGGTGGTGCACACGAAGGGGTTTGGGGGAGGGGGAAGGCTTATTTCGAGGGTTGCTAGAGGTGCCTCTGCCCCAAGGTGCCCCCAACTTTTCGCTCCATTTTGGAGCCCCTGGGGCCCTCTGGGGCTTGTGAGGGGTACTCTGGAGGCCGTGGGGGCCTCCTGGGGAATCCTGGGAGCACCTTGGGCCAGGGCCACTTCTAGTAACACCCGATTGTTAGAAGGAGGCTGCCTCTTAGAAGGCGCCGCTTGTATATCTATGGAGAAGGCCCGCGCCTTCTAAGAAGCAGGAGTGCTTCTAAGAGGCCTTCCCCCCTCCCCTCACCCCCCTCTGCGCGTGGCCGAGGCATCTTAAACTGCGGGAGGGCCGTTGAGATTCGCCTTTCATTCTTCGAAGTCCGCCCCTCTCGCCAAGCCCCGACACGGATCCGTTCACGGCGGACTCGCCTTGTTCTGCCTCCCAGACCTCTTGGTTTAGTGAAAACGACCTCGGGCCCAAACCGGGCGGGCGCAAGCCTGGAAAATGAAGGCCGCGGCACCCTCTCGAGAACCGAAAACGGACAACTCACTGATCGACGTGTCAAGGTGGGGGTTCTGTCCAACCCCGATGCGAGGATCGTTTGAACTTAGGGCCGGTGGCCGCGTAGCTGTGCCAGAGCACACCACAAGAGCAGCTGTGGCCCCACCGACTCCTCAAGCACGTCGTCCACCGCAGCACGTGCCGTGGGGCTCGTGAGCCAGATGGACCACGGGTCGCGAAGGAGGGCGAAGCGACGACGACGACGACGACGACCTCTGCCCGTGCACGCACGCAAGAAGCCGCACCTAGACGGCGCATTGGCAGAACAGATTGCAGTGCAGAGGCCAAGGAAACTCATGCAAAAGACATGTCCAGGCTGAGTGCAAGCGCACCGGAACGCAACCACTGCATACTGCAGTGGTGGGCGGCGATGGGAGTTGCACCAGCACTGTGTCATGCAAGGACGAGGGGGAGGAAGGAGGAGGGAAGGGGGGAAGTGGGAGAGGCGAGGGCAACTTCTCCCTTGGGGATGCCGAGGAACACTCAACTCGCCCTCGGCGGGGGCTGGCAGAGGACCGACGGAAGGCTGGCGGAAGTGCGTACAACAGCGGCGGCCTTGCGGCGGGTGAAGTCGGCAGAAACTTGGCGGAAGCAAAAGTTGCCCCCCCCCCGAAGAGAAGTGGACGGCGCCGAATCCGAGATTTTCTGGGGTCGGTCATGTACGTGACGAGTAGCAGAAGGACGACACACAGGCAACATGGACGCAATACTATGGTTCTGTGCCTCCTCCTCATCCTCCTCGAGGCTCATCTCGCGGTGCAGAAGGGTGCAGGAATGCCCGTGTGGATGCCAGGATGACCAGGGGCGGTCGCTGTTCAGGTGAGAGGGCACCTTGTCAGATCCTCGAACAAGAAGCGGCCCCGACGAGAGCACGTTCCGACTGGCCATCCTGCGGAGGAAAAGGCACGGTGCACATCGCGCTGCGCCCGTGCTTGCTGGTCTCCCTCCCTTCTCCCGAAATCTGGGGAACCGGAGAAGCACGGGGAGCAGAGCAAGGGGGGCCAGAGCAAGCCTAGGGCCTGGCAGTCACTGAGCCCGGCACGTGTCCGCTGCAAGCACGGCGTAGTCGTCGCCTGCAACTCCGAGGCACGTGCCACCGTTATCATCATAGGGCTGCCAGCGATGCTCAATGGGGGCCTGGCAGCGATGGGGAGGGCAGTGCCGCTGCCCATCCCGTGCTCCTCGCTTGTCGCTCCCACCCTCATCCGACTCTCTGAGGCTTGCTTTTGTCTGGGGTGCTCGGCAGGTTGGCCAGCGTGAGATAATCAGATATCAGGAGGTCCCCAGAGGCATCTGGAGGCCCAAGAGGCCCCGAAACGTCGAACAGGTCATCACAAGCATCCGAACACCTTGATCCCTGATCTTCGAAGAGAAAGGTAGATGGGGGATGGAGGGCGAGCAGGGCGAGACGGGTTCAGTAGGAGGGGAAGGAACGCTGCCCGTTCTGAAGACCCGCGCACGAGGCGTCAAAAGGCGCCACAGCTAACGCCCGGCACCGAGCTCCGGCGTGCAGGCCGACGTCATCGAGACCGCCCCGTGTCGCCCTTCCTTCGGCGGCGATCCCAAATGGGAATGCAAAGGGGTGGGCCTTCTCAAAGGCTCGGAAGGCCTCCAGCCATCTGAGAAATTCTGGAAGTTTCCCCGAAGACAGAGACGGCTTCTCGGAACGCCAGAAGGCTTCTGAGAAACCCCGCCGCTTCCCGAGAAGGCTTGCCCCCTCTCCTGCCATCGCTCGGGACGTCCATTCCCCGTGCATTTTTCGAGTTCGTGCGCGTATTTCTTCGAAGCATGATCTGATCCCACATGAGCCTCGATGGCCCTCGCCCAGCAAGCGAGCACACGTCCGAGCGATGCCAGGCTCTCACTTCCCTCCTCTGGGGCGCGCCGCCAATACCTTGCCCGCCGCCGTCCAGCACGCTGTTCCTCAGAGATGCGCGGACGCCCGGCGGCTCGGACGCAAATCGAGGCGCCGAGTCTCCTCCTCCTCCTCGTCCTCAACCCGCCTGCTGCTGCCCCCATTCGGGCCCAAGGCGGCAGGAGAAAGGCCCAGGACGAGAAATGGGCACGGCGAAGATGTCGAGAGGTCAAGGGGCCTCTGTCTCAAACACATGGCGGCGTGATGTCTGGGATGACAGGAGAAGCAGCTACTCCCGATTCATCGGGGCTGGGGGCGGTCAAGGGTGTCTCGTGGTTCGTGCGTCGGTGGCCTGACCAGAGTCACCCCAGACCAGGAAGCCCACAAAGGACGTAGGCGCCCAATCACGTACATGAGTACGGCCCCCCTCAGTCCGCGAGACCAACCTCGTGATACGAACGTTCGCGAAGTGCGTACTTGAAAACAACGCGGATTCATGCACATGTGCGTCCTTCTCTCGCTCCTGACAGACCAGCCTTATCCCGCAATGCGCACTCCCGAGATCAGCGTGGGTTCATGTACGCGCACGCCCTTCCTCTCGCTCCCGACAGCCGCAGTTGCCCTGGACAGGAGTTCTCTCGGAGAACTCGGGCGTCCAAGCTGGCGAGCGGGCCAGATCCCTGGAGAGCCGCCGAGGACGCGCCGCACCAGCAGGGGGTCGGGGTGTGCGGGCTCCCCACGGTCAGCACAGCGGCAGGCGGAGGCTCTCTCCAACCCGGAGGCGATGCCGGCCCCGCACCACCGGGGAACGTCCCGAGCGAGGAGAAGAAGGACGCCCCGGGCAGAGCAGAACGAGAAGGACACAGATCGATGATCCTCAGAACATGTGTCACCGCCAATGCGTCCGTGTCCACCGCAGCCCTTCGATGCGACGCGGCCAGTGCAATGAGGTACAACATGAGCTGCGCGCCTTCGGCGGAGCTGGTCGCGGAAACACACACAAACACACACACGACAACACACACACAAAGAAAAACATAAACACAAACACAAACACAAGCACGAACACAAACACAGACACAGCCAGAAGCACAAGAACAAGCACAAGCACAAGCACAAACAGAAAAACACACAACCACAACCACATCCACAGCCACAACCACCACTACAACCAAAACCACAACCACAACCACAACAACGACCACAACCACGACCATAACCACAACCACAACCACAGCCACAATCACAACCACAACCACAACCACAACTACAACTACAACGACAAGCACAGCCACAACTACAACAACAACCACAGCCACAACTACAACCGCAACCACAACTACAACCACAACCACAACTACAACGACAACCACAGCCACAACTACAACAACAACCACAGCCACAACTACAACCGCAACCACAACTACAACCACAACCACAAACCACAAACCACGACGACAATCACAGTCGCAACCATAATTATAAAGACAACCGTAAACACAAACATAAGCACAAGCAGACGTACAAGTATAAAGACAATTATAAACACAAGTACAAACACAAACACAATTACACGCACACGCATAAGCACAAGCACAAGCACAAACACAATCACAAGCATAAACACAAGGACAATCTCAATTACAAACACAACCATAAGCATAATCATAAACACGAACACGAACACACATTAGGCTAAAACACGTTATGATAATCATCAGAACGAGGAGGTGGAGGAGGAGGGCAGCCATGGGCAGAAGGGAGGTCCAGGCCAGCAGTCTCCAGGCGGCCGCGCCACTGGCAGGCCGTTTCAGCTTGAGGCCGATGCTCAGTGGCACCTTCCGTGGGCGATAGACGTACCTGTATCCGCGGCTTCGCGGGCCAGGCCCCCCTGGGCCGCGACTCCGCGGATACAGGGCATTTTTTCGCGGGTGCCCCGCGCAGAACGTATACGTGCGCTCGCGCCCCAGAAGCCAGACCGCGAGGGCGCGGATGCGGATACGTTCGCCGCTCGTGAGGAGGAGGGGGCTCTCCTGCGGGAGAAGGCCCCTGACCAAACCTGGGTGGTCCCCTCCGCTCTTCCCCCGAGGCCTCGCCGAGGGGGGACGCCAGGGGGAACGGGCTCAGGGGGGGGGGGTACACATCGAGCTGTACTCGGCGATGCATCCATCGCCGATGGATCGACGGCAGGTCCCCGATAGCGAATCCGCATGCTCCTGGGCGGGGTGGGCCATCGGCCCCCTCTCGGCGACGAATGGAGGAGGAGGGAGGAGGGAGGAGGGAGGAGGGAGGAGGGAGGAGGGAGGAGGGAGGAGGGAGGAGGGAGGAGGGAGGGGGAGGAGGGAGGAGGGAGAGGAAGGAGGAGGAGAGGAGGAGGAGGAGGAGGAGGAGGAGGAGGAGGAGGAGGAGGAGGAGGAGGAGGAGGAGGAGGGGCGTCGATGCGTCGCCCCCTGAGCCCATGCCCCCCCCCCCCCCATGACGCTGCCCCTGGCCCCTCCCGCCGGGCCGCGCGGCCGAGCCTGCATCCTGGCCAGCGCCGTTCAGGCGCAGCGTCTCCCTGTCGAGAGCTCTTGGCAGGAGGACGGCTGCGGCGAGGTGGGGCGCCCGGCGCGCGCCGGGGGGGCGGGGGGGGGGGGCACGCAGGCCAGGGGCGGCTCCGGCGTGCCGGAGGGGTCGGAGGGGGGGAGAGAGGGAGCGAGGGTGGACGCCAGGGGGGTGGCAGGATGAGGGGCCGTCGTCGTCGGTGTCGCCCGCGGCGTCGGCCGACGACGTCGGAGAAGGGAGGAGAACTGCAATGCGAAGCGCCCTCGTCTCCACGCCGCCTGGTTCCCCTTGGCAGATGGGTCAGAGCGCACCTCAGGAAAAATCCGGGGCCGATTTTCAGAAGGATCCAGGCCGCCAGGTGTCTCGAAGAACAACACGACCGATGTTGCTTTGCTGTTTCGGTCTCTGGAATCGGTTTCAAGGCTCCAGGAACCACAAGAAACACGGTCTGCGATGAAAAACGGTACCAAGGATGGGGGCGGGGGTTAGATGTGGGTCCAGCTCCCTGTCCAATCCCGACTCCAGTGTGAGGTCCTGCCGAGGGCCGTCCCACGACGGCCCGAGAAGGCCCCAGCGCGGCGTCGGGACCTGCCCAATACAGCACCGGGGCGTCCCGAGATGGCCCCAAGAGGACACCGAAGACGGAGGAGGAGGAGGAGGAGGAGGAGGAGGAGGAGGAGGATGAGGAGGAGGAGGAGGAGGAGGAGCAGGCAGGCAGCTCCCAGACTCCCGAAATGGCCCTCGGATCCTCAACAGTCCCTCTCCGGGTGCGCAGCTCCGAGAGCTTGCCGAGGAGCCCGCCGGCAGGCCCTCCAAGCGTGAACAACCTGCCTTTCAGCAGTCAGGAAGCCAACATCTCGTTCAAAGCACTGGCTGGCCACGATTCGTTTCCCAAAGCAGGCCCCCTCAGCGAGACGGCTTCCAGGCGGAGAAGGTCACTGCAGGTCTCCCATGGCCTCGGCAAGTCATGGGAATCGAGCGGCAAGGGCCACGAACCCTAAGAGGCCTCGAGCAAGCAAGGACCAGGGAGGCGAAACGACGACTGCAGCGTCACCGCGCGGCTTCCTCGGGCGTGATGGCGGAGATGCGCGGCAGAGCAACGGGGTAAGGATCACTCGCGGAGCAAGCGCACCAGCACAGCACCTTCCTGCATGGAGCACCTGCGCGGGTGCGGTGGGTTGGCGCCAGGGCGCCAGCATGTGAGGAGATATGCCGTCGGGGCGTTGACTTAAGGAACCCGAAATGAGGAACAAGGCCATTTGTCCAGAAGTCAAACTTCGACTTTCCCATCCAAAACCTAAGAGAAACCTCAGGCAAACTGCAAAACAACTAAGGAGCACTGAGACCCTCCCAGACGAAGAGGTTTCCTTCTTCAGCGCCCCGACTGTATGGGCAATGGGCCTGTCACTCATGGGTCGAGGCCGATGTCGCGTAAGGTCGGCTTGCGAAGCAAGGTGCATACGAACTATGGGCAACCTGGAGGAGAGGTGCAGGTAAGCTGGATGGGATCGAAACGCATACGCACCAGCAAAACACTTCTGGAATCTGTAACATGGAGAAGTCATGTAATAACTGTCCTTGTAGCATCGGCGAAGTAACATACATGCGGTGTCAGCGTAGCACTAGTGTTTGCCAAGATCTTTGTAGCACGGGACTGCCCAGCATGCTGGTATCCTCTGGGGAGCTGTAGCATGTTTCGGCATTGAGTGGATAAGGAGCAGATTCAGAGTGCTACGAAACTGCTGGCGACGATGCGAACATTAACGCTACTACTTCGCCATGCGATTGTGCTTCGCTGGAAGAGTTCTGCGCTGTGGCACGCGATGCCATGCTGTGGGATGATGCAGCATTGCTGCGCGATGATGTGGACTTGGAACTCGTCGCTATGATGCGGTAGTCGATGCCACTCTACTGGTATGCGATGCCAAGGCATGTTTGCTCTATTGCGTCGTATGCGACTGGATTTCCACGAAATGGTACGATCTGATACGCCATGCTATACTACCTTGCCGATATACCTAGGAATGCCGACATGCCTTGTGACACTGTGCAAGGTGCCACGATAAACCGTGCACAATTTTGGTACTACAATGATGTGATGTTTCCGCGTATGCGAGGCCACCCTGTACAACCAATGACGACCACTACTTTGTTAGAAGAATCAGCGCGAATCAATTGTATGACATACCATGCAATGCTTTGATATGCTATGCAATATGGTTCCACGCAATCTGGTATTAGATGTACCATTCAACTCGATGCTTTGCTACGCGATGATACGGCAATGCTGTGCGACACGCTGTGCCACTCCGCGCAATACCATGACACTCGATGCTAGGCTATGGACAACGGGAACACCTGGAAACCAGGAGGTAATCACCGTGGCATTCTGCCCCTAGGCACCCTCGTTGGAAACATCTCCAATGCGACCATTCTCTCGCTCGTCCTCGTTACTCTAAGTCTGAATTTGATGTGAACCCTTCTCACCCTCTTCTTTCTCCTCACTTTCTTATTCCTCCTCCTCCTCGTCCTCCTCCTCCTCGTCCTTCCTCCTCCCCCTTCCTCTTCACTTACTTTCCTCATTCTTGCTCTCCTTCTCTCCCCCTGGGGTTTCCCGAAGGTCCAAATTGGGCCAGAAGCGCCAAAAATCATAGATCTTCGATCCACCTTCCTTACCCATATCCATCCCGCCTTTCCACTTTCTCGAACGCCTCCCCTACCTTCTGCGACTCCTATTTCCCCCTGCACTCCTCCGCATGCTCCGCGCCCCTCGAATGGCTGCCCCTCGCCTTCCTGTCCACGCCTCCAGCGAGCCTTTGTGCGCGAGCTGTGGGGTGGTGGGACAAGTCCTCCTGCTCCTCCCCATCCGCCCTCTTCCCTCCTTCCCTCCTGCTTCCCCCTTGTGAATCAGGTCCTCGGTCTGGATCTCGCCCTGTACCGAGCTCTGCAGCGCATTGATGTCCTCAATGGTGCCCGCCATGCGCCCACCCTCCTCCTCCCGAGACATTGGGAGACCTCCAGAGACCTCCAGACGCGTCCGGAGACCTTTGGAGGCTCCCGAGAACCTCCTCCTCCTCCTCCTTCTCCTCCTTCTCCCCCTTCCCCTCGGCCCTCCCTCCTTGCTCAGCCCATACAGTACTCCCCAAAGAGCCAACTCAACACTTCACCAACCAGGCGAGCGACGCACGTGTACTATCAGGAGGGGAGGGGGCGCTCGACAAGCGCTACGGGTAGGGGCGGCGGTATAGCCCCTCGTTGAACAGACTCGCCGCCCTGACACCTGCTTGGTCCACATCACGCCAGGGACCACCAGCGGGAGAAGCCAGGGGGGTGATTCTGGAGGTGCGGTCCCCCCTCTCGCTCGAGACATCCTCCATCCCCAGCTCGGGGAGGCATCGTGGACCTCCTCGCTGGAGGTGGCCCCCCTGGTGGTGGTGTTGCCGCTTCTCCTCCCCCCGACTCGGGCGCACCACGACATCTTCAACTCGCCTGTGAGCGAACAACGATCATGTCAAACAAGGCTTGCTTCTGCTTGCGGTCGTCTCCAAACCTCTTCTCTGAGGTTGCACCGAGGGTCGGCAAAGTCCTCGGCGAGTCCTTTCTGTTCCGTACTTACCACGTGCTCTCTACCGAGTGCAGCAGGAGAAAAGCGTTAATCGTTTTTAGCCTTGTGACCGTTATCGTACCTATCGTTGTTTACCGTGGTGTTTCTGCTTGCGATCGTCTCCTGGCCCAGAGATGTGGCCACAGATAGCAAAGAGCCCAACTACCAGGAAAAGGAACGGATGCTGTGCCATCGGGGCCCAGCATCCATCTAGGAGGGCACCAACTATACACCTACAGTGATTCTGGCCAGGATCTGTGTAGGCGTATAGCACGTGATTTGTGTGATTACTTGCGCATTTGGACATCCACCACCGCGACGTGCAGCAGCTGATATAATGAAGGCATTGGATAAATAAGCATTGGGTACGGAATCCAGGGTCCGGAAGTCGGTGGAAATCCAACCGTGGATGGGCCAGGGATGTCACTGCCGCCCTCATCAAGTAAGGGATCCCCAGGGTCTGAACCTTTTGGGCATATTCCTTAACCAAGGCCAGCGCCCCCGCCGCATGTGTTGGGCACCATGCTGATTTCGTCAGTGCCACCTATTGCGAGGCAGTCGAAGCGAGCCGTGCCCAGCATGTGTCCGCGTTTTCTCTCGGAGTCCCGTCCCTGCGTTCTTGGCCTTCCACAAGAAAATGATGCCGAACGCACCGCGCAGTTGCCAGTGGGACGTTCTGTGGGCTCTCTCCCTCTCTCTCTCTCTCTCCTTCTCTCTCTTTGTCTCTCTCTCTCTCTCACCAACGCCCCTCTGCACCCACCTCCACCTCCTCTTCAGTTGCTGGTGGGGCGTTCCAAGGGCCCTCCACCACGCCTCCCCTCTGCACCCCATTCCAGCCTCCTCCTCCTCCTCCTCCTCCTCCTCCTCCTCCTCGTCCTTGCAGCATCAAGCGCGGCGTGGGGGCACCTGCAGTCTTGCGCGCGACACTTTTTGCCCTGCGAACCCTGCTGGGCAGCGGACAGACGCGCCAGACGAAAACACAATCCGCCGACCCCTCATAGGCCTCTAGGCGTGTGAGAATGACATCATTCGCCCCCTTACTCTCCACTTCCCGGGACCCCGAGCCGGAAATTCGACCACCCCCCTTCGGCGCGACCTCTGGCTATGTTCCTCAGTGGCGGGCGGGTGCTGGCTGCCCCTGCCCAGTTTCGGGGCTCCAAGACGATCGGGTCTCCAGTGCGGCCCTAGTAGGGCATTCAGAGCCGCCGGCGACAGTGCAAGTCGTCTCCGAGTCTCGCAGTGCATAGGAGTCCCAAAGGCCCCCCAGGAGCACCCGCAAGAGGGTCCCAAGAGGCAAACATCACCCCATTCCCTGGGGGAAGCTTATAGTTTCAGTATATCTGCCACTTGAGCTTTTACATAGTGCAAGACGGCCCA